GCTGCCTTCATCATGGATGCTGTCCAGGAGGTGGGAGGGTCTGGGAGGGAGGGTCTGCTGGAGATTGGCCGAGATGTGTCAGCTGACCGGAGCTTGCTGCGAACGGTTCGTGGCGAACCGCGGCGAGCCGTTCGCGGGAAGTTCGCGAACGGTTCACGACATCACTATTGAACAGTAGTTAATAAAAATGAATAGCACCCAACCAAAGAGAAATTTTCCCGAACATAAACAAGCGCAGCAGAGCAAGGAATCCCTCAAATCTATGTTCGGGGAACATTCTCTGAAAATAGATTAGATGGATTCCCTGCTCTGGTGCGCTTGTCTATGTTCAGGGAAATTTCCTTGAACATAGACGTGTTTTATACGCTTTTTCTTGGAATAAAACTATGCTGCACAATGGAAGCCTGTTTATGCACACTGTTTTAGGTATATCTTAAAGACTTTTACTCTCCCAACAAAAATGATCAACGTCTTAATTTATGGCTCCTTTTTTAACCCTAAAAAGGTTCCCTAATTCTACTCATTATCACCATAATAATGCAGGCATTTTTTTTAAATGCTGTTTTGCTGTATACATGTATACAGTTACATGACTACATTCACTTGCTGTGCTCTATGCTAAGCAGACAAACAGGAGCTGTGATTGGAGGTTTGCAAATGACTTATAGTGTAAGAATACAAGCCTTGTGCTACTCACCTGGTGCCCTTATCTCCCCAAGTAGGTACCACATCAGTTTCACATGCTCAGACACCTTTGCCAGCTTTTCTGATGCCAGATAATGTAGCCCTGCCCATTTTATGATGTAATGAGGCCATGCCTACTTCATGGCATCATCCCACAAAAAACAAAGAAACTAAATAAGCTTAATATTAGCTCTGAAAAATCTGAGACATTTGTTGGAAGGTTTTACAGATCAGAATGTCATCATTACTGATCGTAAGAATCTTTCTTACATAAGCAAGGTGAAAAAGACTCTTCCAGGCAGGCTAGTGGTTGTGTTTCTGTCTTATGTTCACTGTGTGTAACATTCTGTCTTGGAACTCGTAGGCCAAGGCCAATGCGTAATCCAGACAATTTAATACAGAGGAAGGTGAAATTATGGAATCATTTTCCATTGCTCCTCCTGACAGAATCATTGCTACTACTATCTTGTCTTTGTCCTCATCTTTGCTTGGAAGAACACATTTAAATCAGAATTAAGTACCTATTGAGAAATCTGTTAATAAATTGCTTGTGTGTAAAAAAATAAAGTATATATTACAACTGTTAGACTCAGTTCAAAGTCCGAATTCATATAATTCAAAGAGTTGTGTACACCAGATTGACTGACTTTCTCGAATGCAACTCTCTGTTTGACCCCCTTCAGTCTGGAATACGCACTGGTCATTTTGTCGAAACGGCTGTAACCAAAGTATCCAATGATTTATTTGCTACTAAATCTTGCGGCCATTACTCTATCCTAATTCTCCATGATCTTGCTGCTGCCTTTGACACTGTTGATCATCAACAGCTTTTTCGTATTCTCCGTCATTTTGGTCTACGGGATACTGCTCTCTCCTAGTGCTCCTCCTACCTCTCCCATTGCTCTTTCTTTTTCTGACTCTGCCTCTTTCCCCCGACCACTCTCTGTCGGTGTCCAAGGTTCTGTCCTTGGTCCAATACTGTTCTCTATCTAAACTGCCTCCCTTGGTAAACTCATAAGCTCCTTTGGCCTCAGTTATCATTTCTATGCAGATGACACACAAATCTACCTGTCCTCTCCTGATCTCTCTCTGCCCATCTTGACTCGTGTCTCTGACTGCCTCTCTGCTATTTCCAACTGGATGGCTGCTCACTTCCATAAACTCAACCTGTCCAAAACAGAACTTCTGGTCTTTCCTCCCTCAAGTGTTGCTACTCCTGTGTCTGTCTCCCTCCAAGTCAACTGTGCTACCATCACCTCTACCTCGCAGGCTCGCTGCCTGGGTGTTCTTTTTTACTCCAACCTCTCCTTCACCCCTCATGTCCAATCAATTGCCAAATCCTGTAGCTTCTATCTCAAAAATATAGCCCGCATCCAACCCTATTTAACGCCGGATGCGGCTAAGGTGCTGGTCCATGCTGTTGTTCTCTCTCGCCTTGACTACTGCAATCCCTTTCTCAGTGGTCTTACGTGTTCCCAGCTTGCACCATTGCAATTCATAATGAATGCGGTGGTGAGGCTCATTTTCCTGTCCGCTCGCACCTCCCATGCCTCCCCGCTCTGTAAGTCCCTGCATTGGCTTCCAGTTAGATAAAGGGCTCAATTTAAAATTCTGGTGCTTGCTTACAAGTCCCTACATAATGCTGGCCCAGCCTACCTATCTTCCCTAATACACAAGAATGTCCCGTCGAGGCCCCTGCGCTCTGCCGAAGACCTACATCTATCCTCTGACTGTACTCCCACCACTGATGCTCGCCTCCAAGACTTTTCCAGGGCTGCACCTCTTCTGTAGAACTCCCTTCACTTCTCCGTAAGACTTTTACCCAGTCTCCACTCCTTCAAAAAAATAATTGAAAGCTCACTTCTTCAAGAAAGCATATCAATTAAACTGTTAGCAGTTTTTTATCCCCCACCCCCTTGAATCCTCTCCTGCAACTGTCAAAAATTACTGACTAAGCCCTCAGTGAATACTTTTCTAACAACCTACTTCGTACCCCTAATTTGTGTCACTATACCCCACTCCCTCTAGCATTTAAGCTCACTGAGCAGGGCTCTCCACCCCCTCTGTTCCTGTACGTCCAGTTGTCTGGTTACAATTACATGTCTGTTAGTCCACCCATTGTACAGCGCTACGGAATCCGATGGCGCTATATAAATAATAAAATAATAATAATATATCTGGTTCCTCATCAACATCTGGCCATCTCATGGTGATCTTAGCTCATTGTGTTTTGATCTGTAACCACAGACTTCCTCAGGAGGTATTTTGAACCCTGAATACTAAAGAGACAGTAGTCCTCCAAACTAAGCGGTGGGAATGAACCCTTGGTGGTGTTCTATCATTCTGCTATACCCCGTCAGATTGCTATACCCCGTCACTTCCGGGGAGGGGAATCAGCTAGATGCTGTGCTGCACATGCGTGCTAGCACTCCTGCTACTCCTCCACAGCAAGGTCCTGGAAGGTAAGTAAAACTAGTTTTACACTTTCATTATAGTTAGTGCATTCACTAAGCTTAGGACATGGGACATTTAGGGTTAATGTTAGGGTTCAAATTATTTATCATCTCCGCAGTTGCCTACCTTTCGGAAGCAGCAGGGTGTGTTGCTTACCTGGGGAAGAGATGGCAGCAGGATGCACTATAGGAAGAAGGCTGGTGGAGGCAGTGTTATGCTCTGGGCAATGTTCTGCTGGGAAACCATGGGTCCAGGAAGTCACATGGATGTTACTTTGACACATACCACCTACCTAGAAATTGTTCCAGACCATGTTCACCCCTTCATGGCAATGGTGTTCTCTAATGGCAGTGGCCTCTTTCAACAAGATCTGCTTCTAAAGTCTTAGTGCAAGATAGCACAGGACATGTTCAGAGGTCTTGTGTAGTCTGTGCTCGATATACCAGAGATGTTTTTGCAGCAAGAATGGGACCTGCATGATATTAGGCAGATGGTTTGAATTTTGTGGCTGATCAGTGTATTGTATAATAGAACAAATAGAAATATTATTAATGGGAAAAAAGAAACCCTATAAAACCACATTAACCCACCTCCCCCCCATGAACCCCAACTTCCCCATGGGTTTTCATTTTTTCATATAAAGCTTTTTTGTTTCTTCTTTTTTGTTTTCCCTTTATTCTTTCTATGTGTGCGGGGGTTGTCCTTTTCTCTATGGTACGTTGGGTGCAAACTGCTGAACATATTATAAATGCATGCAAGTTTCATATCCTGACATATTGTCTTTCCTGATTATTTATTATTCATGTCCATAAATGTTTTATTAACAACTCAACTGCGTGCTTGTTTTAATAATGTCTGTTACTTTAGGGAAAACATTTGTAGTTTACAGTTAATTGCCATTTGCTTTAGGGTGTTTAATTAGTTGATCTTTCTTTCTAAGAGGATTTGACTTAGAAGATTTTTATATTTATCCTTGTGTATTAATTAATGTTGCCTTTTCTAGCCTAGAGCAGAATGTAAGGCATCCAGATGGAGCAACCACAAAAATAGCATGTAAAAGCGGGCAGTTGTGTCAGCTTAAATTTTGCCTAATATTTTATTAAAATGTTCCTGACCCACGGAGAGCAGGGTACAGTACCTGCATGTCAAAGTTCTAAATTAGAATGTTATGACCAACTAGTAAATTTGAGTAAAGCAAAGATTCCAAATGTCTAAATCTGGAAAGCTGCCCTGGGAGTGAAGGTTATAGGAATGATAACTTAAACATACTGTTCATGTAATGTGGCCCATAGAATGTATGTGAAAGTGAATTGCACTGATCATATGCAAGCTGGCATGAGCCATGTGTTTAGGATGTGTTGGTTATATAGGAGCTGGAGTTATAGATAGGAATCTAGAACTGACGGAGGACCTATATGGTGGAATAGAAAAGGCAGAGGTAAGTATTTTTCATAATACTTTACATAGGTATGATTAAATCATTGTAATAGGCTAAAATTTATAATTTTATTTCATGTCACAGTTGTATGCTGAAAATTAATTGATAGGTGGGAAGGAACCATATTTTTAAATAGAATTAATGTAACATTTAAATATTGGCTTACCATAACGTGTAACTAATTCTATATTTTTAATAGAGCATATGTTTGTGTAGACGTCATAGTTGAAACTGCAGGGTTGGGGACCCATCTGTGACCTGCTAAGGCTTTATCTGCATTCATAGACTGATCATTAGTAGTGATGTCGCGAACACGAAATTTTCGGTTCGCGAACGGCGAACGCGAACTTCCGCAAATGTTCGCGACCGGCGAACCGGGCGAACCGCCATAGACTTCAATGGGCAGGCAAATTTTAAAACACACAGGGACTCTTTCTGGCCACAATAGTGATGGAAAAGTTTTTTCAAGGGGACTAACACCTGGACAGTGGCATGCCGGAGGGGGATCCATGGCAAAACTCCCATGGAAAATTACACAGTTGATGCAGAGTCTGGTCTTAATCCATAAAGGGAAGAAATCACCTAACATTCCTAAATCACAATGGATATGGATTGACACCTGACATATGACATATTGACACCTTGACATATGGATTGACATCTGTCCTCAGAGCCCCAGATACACACTGACACAGAGCAGAATAGAGACTGTTCCTCCTACATAGGGTCACTTGGCAGATATGGATTGACACCTGTCCTCAGAGCCCCTGATACACACTGACACAGAGCAGAATAGAGACTGTTCCCCCTACATAGGGTCACTTGGCAGATATGGATTGACACCTGTCCTCAGAGATCATGATACACACTGAGACAGAGCAGAATAGAGACTGTTCCTCCTACATAGGGTCACTTGGCAGATATGGATTGACACCTGTCCTCAGAGCCCCTGATACACACTGACACAGAGCAGAATAGAGACTGTTCCTCCTACATAGGGTCACTTGGCAGATATGGATGGACACCTGTCCTCAGAGACCATGATACACACTGACACAGAGCAGAATAGAGACTGTTCCTCCTACATAGGGTCACTTGGCAGATATGGATTGACACCTGTCTTCAGAGCCCCTGATACACACTGACACAGAGCAGAATAGAGACTGTTCCTCCTACATAGGGTCACTTGGCAGATATGGATTGACACCTGTCCTCAGAGCCCCTGATACACACTGACACAGAGCAGAATAGAGACTGTTCTCCTACATAGGGTCACTTGGCAGATATGGATTGACACCTGTCCTCAGAGATCATGATACACACTGACACAGAGCAGAATAGAGACTGTTCCTCCTACATAGGGTCACTTGGCAGATATGGATTGACACCTGTCCTCAGAGCCCCTGATACACACTGACACAGAGCAGAATAGAGACTGTTCTTCCTACATAGGGTCACTTGGCAGATATGGATGGACACCTGTCCTCAAAGCCCCTGATACACACTGACACAGAGAAGAATAGAGACTGTTCCTCCTACATAGGGTCACTTGGCAGATAAGGATTGACACCTGTCCTCAGAGCCCCTGATACACACTGACACAGAGCAGAATAGAGACTGTTCCTCCTACATAGGGTCACTTGGCAGATATGGATTGACACCTGTCCTCAGAGACCCTGATACACACTGACACAGAGCAGAATAGAGACTGTTCCCCCTACATAGGGTCACTTGGCAGATATGGATTGACACCTGTCCTCAGAGCCCCTGATACACACTGACACAGAGCAGAATAGGGAATGTTACCCCAACATAGGGTCACTTGGCAGATATGGATTAACACCTGTCCTCGGAGCCCCTGATACACACTGACACAGAGCAGAATAGGGAATGTTACCCCAACATAGGGTCACTTGGCAGATATGGATTGACACCTGTCCTCAGAGCCCTGATACACACTGACACAGAGCAGAATAGGGAATGTTACCCCAACATAGGGTCACTTGGCAGATATGGATTGACACCTGTCCTCAGAGCCCCTGATACACACTGACACAGAGCAGAATAGGGAATGTTACCCCAACATAGGGTCACTTGGCAGATATGGATTGACGCCTGTCCTCAGAGCCCCTGATACACACTGACACAGAGCAGAATAGGGAATGTTACCCCAACATAGGGTCACTTGGCAGATATGGATTGACACCTGTCCTCAGAGCCCCCCTGATACACACTGACACAGAGCAGAATAGGGAATGTTACCCCAACATAGGGTCACTTGGCAGATATGGATTGACACCTGTCCTCAGAGACAATGATACACACTGACACAGAGCAGAATAGACACTGTTTCCCCTACATAGGGTCACTTGGCAGATACGGATTGACACCTGTCCTCAGAGCCCCTGATACACACTGACACAGAGCAGAATAGAGACTGTTCTTCCTACATAGGGTCACTTGGCAGGTATGGATTGACACCTGTCCTCAGAGATCATGATACACACTGACACAGAGCAGAATAGAGACTGTTCCTCCTACATAGGGTCACTTGGCAGATGTGGATTGACACCTGTCCTCAGAGATCATGATACACACTGAAAAAAGTTTTTTGTTTTTAAATGCAAGCTTTTGTGACACCAGTGAGTGAGTGGTGGCACTGGACACAGTATCCACTGTGAGCCTGACACACCCGCTTTGAGACAACTAACTGCTATTCAATCTATAACAGTGAAAAAAGTTTTTTGGTTTTTAAATGCACGCTATTGTGACACCAGTGAGTGAGTGGTGGCACTGGGCACAGTATCCACTGTGAGCCTGACACAGGCGGCTGACAACTAACTGCTATTCAATCTATATCAGTGAAAAAAGTTTTTTGTTTTTAAATGCAAGCTATTGTGACACCAGTGAGTGAGTGGTGGCACTGGGCACAGTATCCACTGTGAGCCTGACACACCCGCTTTGAGACAACTAACTGCTATTCAATCTATAACAGTGAAAAAAGTTTTTGGTTTTTAAATGCAAGCTATTGTGACACCAGTGATTGAGTGGTGGCACTGGGCACAGTATCCACTGTGAGCCTGACACAGAAGCTGGCAGACAACTAACTGCTATTCAATCTATACAGTGAAAAAGTTTTTTTTTTAAATGCAAGCTATTGTGACACCAGTGAGTGAGTGGTGGCACTGGGCACAGTATCCACTGTGAGCCTGACACACCCGCTTTGAGACAACTAACTGCTATTCAATCTATAACAGTGAAAAAAGTTTTTGGGTTTTAAATGCAAGCTATTGTGACACCAGTGAGTGAGTGGTGGCACTGGGCACAGTATCCACTGTGAGCCTGACACAGACGCTGGCAGACAACTAACTGCTATTCAATCTATAACAGTGAAAAAAGTTTTTTTGGTTTTAAATGCAAGCTATTGTGACACCAGTGAGTGAGTGGTGGCACTTTGCACAGTATCCACTGTGAGCCTGACACAGAAGCTGGCAGGCAGGCAACTGCAATTACACAGAAAAAAAAAGCAGACTGATGTTTTAGCCCTAAAAAGGGCTTTTTGGGGTGCTGTCCTTACAGCAGAGATCAGATGAGTCCTTCAGGACTGTAGTGGACACTGTATACCCTAACCTAGCTATGCATTTCCATATCTAATCAACAGCAGCTACACTTTCCCTCCTCTCACTAAGCATGCAGCTTGAGAATGAATGTAAAATGGATGCCTTCCAGTAGGTGGGAGGGTCTGCTAGGGAGGGTGTGCTGCTAATTGGCTGGAATATGTCTGCTGACTGTGAGGTTCAGGGTCAAAGTTTACTCAATGATGACAAATAGGGGGCGGATCGAACCGCGCATATGTTCGCCCGCCGTGGCGAACGCGAACATGCTATGTTCGCCAGGAACTATTCGCCAGCAAACCGTTCGGTGCATCACTAATCATTAGTTTCTTTATCATTCACTCTACCAACTGAATGACCAGCTACAGCTAATTACTACTACTTTCATATCTCCTAAATCACCATATCACTCAAACCTTGTATTTCACCCATACAAATGTCATTCAGACATCCCTCACACATACATCTAACAAATATACCCCATTCACATACACTGACATGGATTATGAATTCACCCCCATATTCCCTTAATCAGATGGTCTGCCATATCACAAGGCAAAACAAGGAAATGCCCAGTTGACTGGGATGATCATGGGCTTATAGGCAGGCTGAGAAAATCAGAGGATCACCCCAGGTTGATGTTTTTTGATGTTACATCATGTCCCTGTTCTTCTACACATGGCACTCTTTGTTGTATATTAGAACTTATCTGGTAGCAGACAGAGCAAGGAACATCTACTAAGAGTTGTGTAGAGGTTGGGGTAGAGGTTGGGGGAGGAAGATGCAGAAAATAATTGTAGATTATACTAACGTAGTGTACCTATAATCTTAGTTTTAATAATGACAGGAGGCGAGTATTTTGCATAACTTTCTTTACTTTATGCCTCCAATCAATAAATGTTAAACCAATCAGTAACAGGTATCACATCCATATATAAAGCCCTGACAGACACATGACTTCCTCTTTCTTTGATGTGATAAAACAGTCTATAACAATGTCAGGGAACATAACCAAAGTCCTGAATAACATGGAAAACGCAAACTTGATCTGTAACGAGATAAATTCCAGCTTGTCCGACATTGAATCCACCAGCGAAGATCACACTGAAAAGAACAGAAACAAGTTAAAGGTGATGGAAACGGACTGACGTCCACATAAATCCCAGTGTCACTATAAATCAATATAAATTATAACATTCGCATCTTCTAAAGTTCTAACATCATGAAATATACACACTAATGATAGACGAATATTACCACATAAAACACACATAAAACATCCCATCAATACACAAGATTAAATGAACTAAACAAAATATATAACTGAGCAATTGGAAAACAGTGAACAAAACTTCCCATTGAAAAAGGGTGGGAAAGAACAGAGAGGGAAAATACTCGCCTCCTGTCATTATTAAAATTTATATTATAGGTACACTATGTTAGCATAATCTACAATTTTATTACATGACAGGAGGCTTCATATTTTAAATTTTTAAAGCTGTCGTAATAACGAAAAGATGCGTGTGTAGTTTGCCAAAATTAAAATATGCGGAAAGTGTCTTCCTGCGTCCTATCTGCCGAACGTATAATATCGGATAGAAAAAACTCCCGCCGGAGCGGCGGCTCTTCGAACTGAGTGAGCCCTGAAACATGTCTCCACCCCCATCATAGATAAAAAACAACAAAACCCATCTAGCCAGAGTGGTAATGGCAACTGGTATGCAGGGTTTGGTATAGGAGACCATAAGTTGTCCGCATCGCGAAAAACTAAGGGTTGTAGTAACCTCCCTAAATCGAGTAAGCACGATCACTACACACACACGGGTACTGTAGGAAAAAAGGCTAAAACACGGATTTGGAATCCGTTTTAGTTGTATGGGACACTATGAAAGTGGCTCCTCCCGAGAAATCGAGAAACCATCCTCGAACGCCCGAAACTCGACTAAAAAGGATACTAGACCTAAAAGTAATGTGAGTTTGGCCGAAAATCACAGAACGTGTAACTTTTGTGAAAGGTGAGATAAGAAATTCAACAATGTGGTAATAGGTACTATAAAGGGGGT